GCTGATCTTGGAGATTTCTTCAATTGCCGGGTAGGAAAGACCATATTCTTCCATCAACTCGATGTAGTCTCGGACGTAGTGACTTATCATCCTGTCTTCGAAAATCTTCCAAGCGATTCTGTCATTTTCTGAAGCCGCGAGATTTTTTTCGGGGCGATTGGATGATTGAACTTTCGGAGCTTGCCGGGAGTCCTGAAAGGTTGAAATTTAATTCAAGACAGTACATTTTTATCTGTCTCTGAGGGCATTTATAGTAGGACTCAGGGCGGACGCGGTTTTCGGCGGTAAACGCAAATTTAAACGCGTATGCAAAAAGTAATTTATAGTAAAAAAACATAAATAAATAATAAAAAAATTATAGTATAAATAAAAAAACACATAATTAATAGTAAAAACGCATTTCAAAATCTTATACTTTTACCTGACCCACTTGGGGAAAAAACTCCTACAGGGGCAACTTTAGCGGACCTTGAAGGCTCCAATTTTCCTATAGAGGCCACTCTTCAGTTCCTAAGCAATTACAGCCCCATAAAAGGGGAAAAAAGAAACTTTAATTATGCTTCGAATTTCAATATGGTAAACATGCATCTGTCGCTTTTCAACTCAACAACAATGAGCTTTTGAAAACCTCCTACCTCACCCTGGAACCTGAAAAGTTTGATCTGAAGAGCAGCGGCTCCAAAGTAATCGGAATCAATTATGAGTTGAAGGGCAGCTTCTGGAAGTTTCAAGAGTTCGTGGATATAACTTAATTAACTAACGAAGAGGCTCTAAAATTTTTCACCTGCATCCTTCAAAGCAGAAGCCAGAACCAATACCGTAATTAATATCAAACTTGAAAGGGCCATGGTAAAAAGATTTGTTTCGTTGGTCGCTAATGTCATCTTGTTTATATATTTCAACCAACCCACTCAATGTACAATGTTATAACAGCCTGTGCTTGAGATTGCTCCGGTTCTATTGGACTCTTGGTCCGATTGGACCCTGCGCATGCGTTTCCGTTTATTGTTGTTGTCGGACTCTTTACACAGACAAGATCACTTTCATTTCCACAGTCTGGCACTGTCATCATATAAATCTGAAATTCGCTGGAATTCAGACGTAACCAAAGCGGGGCACGTCAAAAAAGTCGTTGTCAGACGGCTCCCACAAGGAAGGTAATTTTGACTTTGAGAATTTGGCCAGAACACCCCTTGATATACAGTAAGAAGGTTATGAAAGTTTCAACGTACACGACTTCTTAGATTTCAAGTTATAAGAGCTCAAAGACCCGGAAAAACGGCTTTTGAAGTTTTTCTATGTGGTTTCCTTGCTAAAAAAGAACTTATAAAATTTCCGAGAATATTATAGACTTTTAAAAATTCATGTCAAAAGCTTTTTTCATGACCCTTTTCCTCTTCTTCTTCTTCTTCTTAAACCCCTTGTTTTATTCGAGGCGGGGATCGAACTTGTGACCCTGTGGACCGTAGGCGGGCACACAACTTGTTGCGCTACGGCGCGCCCCTTAGACCCTTTTCCAAATGCAAAAATTTTTTCTGGTGTGTAGAAAATATTATTTTCACCTAGAAGAGCTGTTCAAAAACAGAAACGCAAAAGTTTTGGCGGGCGAGAAAAACAGATCTTTCAGATCCATTTCATGTTTTTCCAGTCTATAATCTGTTTATAGTCTGTTCAGATTTTGAATGTCATCGCCCAAACTCCGCCCCTTATGCGTAAATCAAACCAATCAAAAAGCGAGCCATCCACAGAGCGTTGTTGGGGGCGGAGTTTGCTGCTTGTCATTTAAAAAAACTGATTAGACCATAACTTTTTTTGGTTTGAATTAATAAATCCTTTGTTTTTTTTTCAGTTGTTCTTTATATTTAACTTTCAAGGGAGCTTTCACTGAAAAAACAACGACATAAAAAAGATGTAAGGATTTTTTTCCAAAATTTTTTCGATTGTTATAAATTCAATTTTTTTTCGTTTTTTGAATATCTAAAGCTAGGAAGGAATATTTTTAAAGTCACCTCGAAAAAAATTTCTGTCCTTACTTCTGAATGTTTTTTTAAAAATGTCGTTTTTTTCATTTTCTCTCAGTATTTTGAATGGCGTCTAAGATTTGCTCCCAGATAAACTTTGGTTTTTGCTTTCAAGTGCCCTTTATCATTATTATTTCACATAAAGTAACGAAGGATCACCTGAAAAATGTCCAGTGAAAATATGAAAAACCTTCATCTGTATTTTTGAAAAGGCCTTCATTGAATTTTCAGAGAGTTCCGGATATTTGAATAACTTTTTTTCCCGTATGACCCTTCATGTCAGAAACACTTGCACAGCAGAGATGAGAAATTTTTATTACAGTAGATTTATTAAAAGTTAGTTGGCCGCCTGCTCGAGAGCCTGGACTTTCTGAGAGTAGACCTTCCAGGCAGCCTGGTCGGCTGGAGAAGCCGTGGCGATGTAGGCCTCGATGTCGGCCTTCAGAATCTCGAAACCGGCTTGGAGAGCTCCTGGGTTGCCTTGGGCGGCCTTGAGGGCTGCCTGAAATGGAAAATGTTGATTTTTTTTTTTTCGAAGACAATCGAGGTTCAGCTGCTTGATTTTTGGAAAAGTGGAGGGGATACTGAATAAACAAAAAAAAAAAAAATAAAAATGAATACTTGGATTAATTGTCCCTTTTAGTGGCTGTCAGGGCAGACAGATACAATTTTTAAAAAATTCCCTAGATCTCAAAAAAAAAAAAGCTTATGGAAACCTCGTGCTGCTTGGCGATGACGGTGATCTGAGCGATAGCCGCGTCGGAAAGTCCAGACTCCTTCATGACTTTCGTGTAACCGTCGATGTAGTTCTGGGTCATCTGGGCTTCGAAGTTCTTCCACGCGGCCTGGTCGGCGGCGGAAGCCGTCGCGAGGAACTTCTCGATGTCATCGTTGAGTGCCTTGACGCCTTCGTTGTTGCTGGCCGGGTTGATCTGCAGCTGTTTCAGGGCGTCCTGAAAGGTCAAGGTTTTCCGGAGATACTCGCTATAAACCTGATGCTGAGACGCGATTTGGGAGATGGCGATGATAGCGGCGTTGGAAAGGCCGGAAGCCCTCAGGGCTTGCAGAGTGGCTACTGGAAAGTATTGTAAATTTCAAAAATTCAGAAGGGTGTAGAAAACAACTCTAGGTGGTACAGTACCGTGTAGATACACATATTCACTTTTTTTGACATAACTTTCCGAGAAGTTGTCCAATTATTGTCAAGCTTTGTACAGTGGTTTCCTACGGGTCCAGTTTGTTGAAAAAAAAGTACTAGCCTGGTAGCTCATTTTGATAGCGAGTTACGCCTCAAAAGGTGAAATCAGGAAAATCTCAGAATCCGAGTAACAATTTTCAAACTTTTTTTTGTTGTTTCAATCTAGGAACATTTATTAAACACAATTTCATCGTGAACTGAGGCTTTGAATACATTATAGCTTCGCTCGCTCCACTATAAAACTATTAACCAAAATAAAATTTAGATGCTCTTGATTTTTGGATTATCGAGTCTCTCAGGAACCAGCTAATGGATTTGTTCTTCCGAACTTTTAAATATGAATCAATAAATTTGAAAAAAACAAGATTTATGACGTCACCGACTCGAATTATGACGTCAATAGCCAAGGTAACGAAAAGGACGACTTTATTGTTTTCCCTCCTCAGAAAAGGTACAAAAAATTGGCACTGAACATAATAATGACGTCACTAAGACCGAAATTATGACGTCATAAAACACATGAGGTAAAGTTGATAAAAGGAGGCTGAGCCTTGAATGACGTCATCATCGAAAATTCAACAAATGACGTCATTTTTATAACGAAGCATCGATGAATACCTTTTATAAATTAACGTCACTTCAAGTTAGCACTCAAAAAATCAATGACGTCATTATCCAATCAAGATGACGTCATAGTTTCTTCAGAGATTCAGAGTGAACTGTAGTTGGCATCAAAAAACCGTTTTTCGTAGTGTATTACTTTTTCGTTTTTTCAGGAACTCACGATCAGTCTGGGCGAAGGCCGCGACGACGACGCCGAGAAGTACAACCAATGTGGAAGCTTGGGCCATGGCAGGACGACTTATGGATGACTTTCAACACGAATCTCATTGGTTTTATACCAATTTGGCGTGTTTCCCATTGTTTCCTCAGCCGTCTCAAATTATTTGCCCGATTTTTTGTCAGATTTCTGATCTTCTGCCCCTATTTGAACAGCCAAAAGTTCGAACGGGGTTAAATTTGGAATGGATCAAAGACGCGAATCAAACTCGAAATTTGATGGAGTCCCCCGGAAATGTGGCCGGATATATTTGAATTGCCGTTGGAAGCCATCAAATTATGCCCCGGGCAATCGTTTTTGTCCCGTTTTTTTTTTTGAGCCCTGAGCTTCTTGTGTACGACATTTTTATTGGCGCATAAAAAGCTGAGTCGGTGTGATTATATTCGAATGGATGTGAGCCAGGAAAGTCATTGAAATTCATAATTTTTTGGTTTTTACTTTTTCATTCTTTGATTCAGTTTTTCGTCTCACAGTTTCAACTCACAGGTCGTAAAAATTAGCATAAACTGACGCAATCCGAACAATTTGACTTTGAAATGTATCAATTGAACTCGAACAGTTTTTGACACAGTTTTTCAGTTTCATGAACATGCAGGAAATGTGAATATTGGGCAGAAAATATCAGAAAAACAGCTCTCAAAAAAGAGAAAAAAAATTTTTTTTAAGGTTGAATTTTTGCTTTTTTTACAATCTACCGAGATCACTACCATTCTACCCTTCACTCGATATTTTCAAAATTGGTTGTTTCACTGAAAAAAATCTTCAAAAAGTGCACCCTTGGAAGCAAAAGCCCCTAAAAAAACAGAGAACGGGAGCTTTAGTGCTCCAAGGCTAATTCTTTCTTTCTGGTAATTTTTTTTTGTTTTATTAAGTTATTTTCATTTGAAGCATTCCAAACGATCACCTTTAGAAAATTCCCAGTGAGTCTCACCGAAAAACCTGTGCGACGGAGCGAAATTGTTCAGGAATTGAATTATTTGAGTTTTTCCAGGACCTGAAGAAATTAATGAAGTCAAGATTGAGTATAGCCTTCAAATTAATTCCATATACAGCAAAAATAACTGCGAAACACTTACTGATAAAGAGGTATTTGCGCTCTAAGGCTAATTTAGAGATTTTTAATTTATATTGGTACTTAGAAACGGCAGAACGGTCCCTAATGGGACAATCTCAAAATCTCTTATAGTCTCTTTTCTAAAGACCAACCCCCCTGAGGGACCACTAAAGATTGCAAAAAGGGTCCCTACAGGGGTGCATACCGATGGCGTTCCTAAGTATCCATTCTCTGAAATTTTCAAAGTTCAGAATTCCAAGCATTCCAAATGACAGTTCTTCGAAAATCCCCAGTGAGTCAGCCCCTCCGAAAAAAGCCGTAAAAACCTGTGCGACGGAGCGACATTCAACGTTTTATGAATTAGTTAGCACCGGCGGCGGCGGCTGAGAAACTCCGCTCCGTCTCGTATATTACCGTACGGTTTTGTTTTCCCGACTCGACATGTAGACCATTAATTGCCGCTAGCCCCTAACCTCAATTCCCTCCAAAACCTTTTCCGACGCTTTTTTCCCCCGTCCTCTTCTTCGACCTCGCCGCTTTTGTCTCAAGGAAGTGAGACTGAGAATTGGTCTTAGAATGTTTGGAGGGTGTACTGTAGAATTGGATAGAAGACGAAAAATGAAATTTAGATTCATTTCCTGATTTCGAGGGTAATTTCAGTGTGAAGATGATCAAGATATATTTATGGGTGGTCCTTTTTCTTCTTGGGTGGTCCTTTTTTCCTTCCTGGGTGGTCTTTTTCCCTTCTTGGGTGGTCCGCTTTTGATGAAATTTTTTGAAGTTGAAAATTTATTTTAAGCTAGCTTGATATCAAACAGGGATAGTTAAAAAAAGCACCTTTAGAATGAAAACTTGAGTTTAAAAAAAATGATCTTAAAGTCTAGCTTAAGATTTCTCATAGTTATAAGATTTTTTTCAGTCCCTGGTCATATGATTTATTTGAAAATATCGGTTCCAGCTAATTTTTTTCGGATTCTTGAGCCTTGTGAAAACCATAATTTGAAATAATAAAGGTTCTGGGAAAGTAGAGATTATGAAGAATCTATTTCTGTAATCTTCAAAAATCTTTGGAATTAAAAAAATTGAATAGGATCTCCCCTGTGAGAAGGTTCAGAAAAATCCCCACTTACCAACTTTATCTGCTCGATTTCAAGCTCAAACTCAAGCTTCAGCCTCATAAAACTCAGCAAAAAATATCCCAGGACCACCCAAGAAGCGCAAAAAACGCGGCAATTTGACTACATTAGGACAATGACCCGACCTCTCCCAGTGATATTGGAAGTCCGACTTTTTTAGGAAGCTTTAAACTCGTGTCCTTTTGGTTCTGGTCGGCGGCAATTAATGAGATTGAGTGTCAGTTTTTTCGCCCGGCAACTTTTCGTGTCGGCCTCCCCAACGCCAGCGGTTCCTTTTTTATTGCCGCCCGCTTTGATTTTATTTTCGTTCCGTAAAGACAATGGTTAAACGCTCTTCCCAAATGACTCCTCTGACGCATAAAATATGCAAAAATTATCTATTTCTTATAGTTTTGTATTGAAGCTTTGATAAATTTGTTGAATTACAATGTGAGAGATACTACTAGAGCAAAATGGCAAAAAATCTTGCGTCAAGCGGATCCGAACCTCGGTTATAATTATCAGAAAGCAAAATCTCTACCACTGTGATATCTAGCCAATAGACTTTTGCGGTCCGTGTAGAATTGAAAAAAATGCAATTTTTTTAATTTCGTTACATCGGAAAATTTTTTTGTGTAGCTTCGTTGTTTTTCCAAAAAAACGATGGTCAAAAAGCTCTTCCCAGATGACTTTTTTGACGCATAAAATATGCAAAAATTAACAATTTTTATGGTTTTGTACTAAAGTTGCTATAAATTGGCTAAATGCGGTGTGACAAAAGCTACATGAACAGAATGGCAAAAAAAAAATTTTCTCAAGCGGATCCGAACCCTAGTCATGATTATCGGAGTTCAGAGTCATTACCACTGCGTCATCTAGCCAGTATGTTCTTAGCTCCATGTAGAGTTAAAAAATGCGATTTTTCTGTTTTGCTTCCAGGAAATTTCAAAAAATTATCTTTTTAGAGTTTCTAATTGAAGTCTTCCAAATCAAGCATATACGGCTCAGTGAGGGGATTTTAAATTTTTGACTTCAAAAACTCAAAACGCTGCGACACAGTGTTACAGAAGTCACATGAGCATACGGCAAAAAAAAAAACTCGATTTTTCTGGTTCAATTTTTGTCGAATGTCATAATTTTTAAGGCTTTTATCAACTTTTCGATTTCGAAGCTTTACTTGCAAGGAGATTTTTTCTTTAATGAGGTTTTTAAAATTATTCTTTTTTAGTGAAAAATGAAGGCTTATGTCACCTTAAACAGCCCCAAAAACGACTGTTCGCTTCAAGACCTTTATGGAAATCGTGTATGCACCTTTAATAACCCCAACGGATCCTTCCAGAGATGTCTTTCTGAAAAAAAGGAAGAAAGAACGAATTTTTTTGTTTTCTGTCTCTCTTTCCGCTTCGAGATCCCTGAAACGGCTCTTCGTCTCGATACCTTCATAAAATTTATCTACGCTCCTTTAATAACCAGGTGTATGGTGGTTCAATACCCAGATATATTAAAAACAGAAAAAGGTCCTTTAAAAGCCGGAGAAAGGAAATTCTTCCTTTTTTTCTCTTGGAAACCCCATGGCGATGAACATTTCCCAAACCTCAATACTCGAACCATTTTCGCCCGAAAAAAGGAACGCGTCCTTCAACACACATACGAAAACACATTTTATCACCTGCTTGAAACGTTTGGAACGCGTCGGGTCGTCGCAGACGGAAAAAAAAGGTTCAAGGGAAATGAGGGAATGTGTATAGGTATCATAGGAAACGAGGCAAAATGGCCGAGGTTTCAAGGCTGAACTTTTTTTTTATTGTTTCTCAAAAAAAGTGGTTTATTTGGGTGTATTGATACCAATGCCACGTTCAGAGTGATCTCGCGAAATTTTTTTTTGGATCAAACTCAAAAGATTTCACGAAATTATGATATTCAAGCTCAAAATGATCTCTGCATCACAGTTTTCTCGCTCACTCCCTCCAAAATCACTCCACATAAGTGTTATGAAATTGATAGCGCAGTGGTAGTGATTTTGAGCCTTGAAGGTGAGATCGAGGGTTCGGATCCTCTCGGAATATTTTTTCCTTTTCTTTCTGAAAGAAATCTCATACTTGCGTCGGGAGCGGTAAGCAAAAGGCTGAAACCGGCTCTGAGCTCAAAATGAATGCTTCAGGCGAAAACCGTCACTGGTCGGTTGCAAAATGTTCTTAATGTCTTTTTTTGAAAACGAAAGTATGTGTTGACTAAGTGTTAGCGTCTGAACGAAAATACACGCAAAAAGAACTTGCGCCCGACCCAAAACGACTTGCGCCCGACGGTATTGGACAGCATTAATGAATCTGAGCCGCAACGTTTCGAGTCAATCCAAAAAGCTGTTCAAAAAATTTTCATTGTTATCTAAAAAAAAGTTTCATTGTCAGTTTCATGGTGAAATTCCCTAAAATCTTTTTTTTTCTTCCAAAATCTTCATTCAAATCGCGTCGAACGCACACACGCGGAACGGAACAGATGGCTTTGAAGACAAAAAAAAACGAAGGAAAAAACTCCTGGCGGGCCTGAAGAAAGAAACATTTTTTCGTGTCTGGGTGGTCCAGCTGTTTTGCGACATTCGGCCTCTTTGAAATTAATGGGCAACGTTTCAGTTTTTTTTTTCGTTCACTCTTTTCAGCGTTCCTTGAGGCAATGTGGTTTGAATTATGAGGGTTGAAAAAGCAATATTTGATGGCGAAAATCAAAAAAAATGATTGAAAAAGAGAGAGGAAGTTCAATTTTTAAATTGGGGAAAGAAAAAAGTCAAAAGGCATTTCAGGCTTTAATCTGAGTAATTTGAAGCAAACATGAGCAATACTCACT